AAAAAAAAAAAAGGAAGAAGAAGGAGACACGCGTACACGTATGAAGAAAAAGCAAAGATGGTAACTTCGATTTGGAGAATTAATCAGGTTTCGTCAATTTTTCGTGATGCCATTCCACTTTTGCGTGTTTAATTTCGACATTACGTTAGGCTCAATTTTCACATTGCTAAGATATAGATGAACCCTTATTTTGAAATATTTAATATTAATTAATTATTTTAACGACTAGTATGTTTATTTTATTGGATGTTTATTATTGTTTTCACCGACTTTTCAATTAATTAGCTACAAATTGAGATGATTATTAGAATCTATTATCGAGAGAGATAATAGGTTTTTAGCTAAAAATAATAAACATTGTAAATTCCGATAAGGGATAGAAATATACATCTATGTTTTACATAGTTTTCATAGGTGTTCGAGATCGTTTAATACATTTATCATGTTCGCATCTTTCATCGAGAGATATGGAGGTCACGTGAGGGGAATACATTCGAGGGATAATTGTAGCAGTAGTACAAAAACCTTTCATTAGGTAGCCGACTTTACCCAAACCTTTTATTTGTGTCACTTACGGTACCAAACCTTTCAAAATGTCGTAAATGAAGTCCAAATGGATGGTTTCTGTTAGTTTGACCATTAGTTGACCAAATAATTGACTTTGATAATAATTTTAACTGATTTTAAAAGGTTAAAATGTTAATTTTACATTTTTTATAATAAAATAATCAAAATCAAATAATTAAAATTAAAAACCCATTCCACCTTCTCATCCCCATCCACCCACCCCCACCTTCTCCTTCTCTTCCACACCCAACGTCGGTGTCGTTGTCAATATTTCATCGTCCTTCGACACCTCCAACTTCACGGCAACCACAAATTTCTTCTCAGCCACACTTCTTTCACATTTATTTGTCAATACTCGGAAGTTCGAATCTTCATTACATAACTGTCTTCACAATTTCAGCAGATGAATTTAGAAACTGGTGTAGAGCTACATAAAAACTAAAAGCCACNGAAACTGGTGTAGAGCTACATAAAAACTAAAAGCCACAAAAAAAAAACATTAAATTAAAGTGTTCCAAATTCCATCATTTCCCATCAAAATATCCAAAAAAAAACCCCCACCCAAAAGACCATTTTTTTAACGGAAATGGTGAAATGGGTACCATACCAGGACAGCCCGATGGGTAGGGGCGGAGGGAAAACTGGACTGAGGAGGCAGAATTAGTCGAACCAGAGGCAATCAATACAACATCGGAGAAGGCCAACGTATTAGACCTGGAAATGGCGATGGTCCCACCAGATCCAGCGGAGACTAGCCGGAGGAAATTGACCTTGGCCTTGAGGTCCTCGACCTTGTTCTTGAGCTTCTCCTCCGTCTTGCCGACCTCCTCGTAGCACTCCCTGCATGTATCGGCATCACGTGCCCTGTACTCCTCCTTTCATCTTTCCCTTCTTCGCAACAGATCCGTCTTTGTCGTAGTCTTCGTCTTCATGCTCATCACCAAAGTTTATGTCGAAGTCCAATGGAAATCGCTGCACACGGTGCTGGCAGTGGAAGAGAAGTAGAGGGTGGATGGGATGGGTGGGGATGAGGGTGGGGATGAGGGTGGGGGATAGAGAAGAAGAAGAAGAAGAAAAAGGTAGAATAGGTATTTAATTCTAATTATTTGATTTTGGTTATTTTATTTTTAAAAAATGTAAAATTATCATTTTAACCTTTTTAAAATCAGTCAAAATTATTATCAAAGTCAATTATTTGGTCAACTAACTGTCAAACTAACAGAAACCATCCATTTGGACTTCAATTACGATATTTTGAAAGATTTGGTACACTAGGTGGCACAAATGAAAGGTTTGGATAAAGTATGCTACTTAATGAAAGGTTTGATACCGCTGCTACAATTATCCCAATATTTGATAACTATCGAGAGAGATTTTCAAAACATTAGGAACATTGACCAACAAGATTGACTAAAAACTGTCACTTTAATTTGTTGTGCTAAACTGGATTAAAAAGGGGATTCAACATTTTAACAATACTTTCACATATTAAAAAAATCAGTTAAATTGCTTTCGAGTTTAAACGATAATTTAGATATTAGTATAGAAAACTCAAATCCTATTTGCTATTCGATTAAAGTTGTTATTAATTTGAACTCAATTGAATACTTAGTCCTTGTTAGTTCGACACTCTATACACTACTATATTACTTGTTCACGATCTCGTTCATTTGCTGGAAATCAAACGACCAAATTCAAAATACTTGTTAACGAAAATATATTTCGAATTAAAAACATCGCAAGTGTGCGATTCGTTAAATAAGGTGAATTTTGAGTCCAAGTATCGTCCCATAGAGATTGATTAGTTCAATTTTAATTATCGCGACCTTAACCGAAACAAGAATAATATGATGTATTTGTGTTGTGACAAAATTATGAATAAATTAATCTACTTAAACAATTATGAGACAATTAACAAAACTAAATGCAAATTAATGTATTTAATAAATGACAAACGCACTGAGATCTCAAATTCCCATGCAATAATCATTTTTCACCTTAGTTCCACACTTTGACAATACGATTGAATTTTGATGAATTAATGTTTCTATTTTATTTAACAATCTCTCGAATAATGTTAAACCTACTCTCATATATGACCCGACTATATTTTTATGACGGATGCTAACTTACAATTGTACATGAATATTTAAATATTCGCATAGAGGATAGAGGTATATTTCTATCACATATCGAACCTTATGATGATTTACACTATGTTGAACATATTTTCCTTCTTTTGAATGTATAAAATAAGCCACCAAATTCACACAACTACCATGCACAATAATTGTGGAGAAAATAAAATCATATAAATAATTCAATATTCAAAAACATGTTTTTAATGTCGAGTATGTAAAATTAAAGATTAAAAATTCACATTACATGGTTCATCGTTCTCTTATTACAAAGAAAATTAGCCTAACATATTATGAGCAAGAAAACAAAAGAAATATTGAAGAATCGACATCATTCATATAAAGCTTGAATTGAATCTTCAAGTCTTGGAATTGATCTTCGTGTTTGTTGCTTCCTTCTATACTCCCAAAATCTCTTAGAATGTGTTATAATGCGTGATGTTCAGTTCTGGACGACCCTAGGTTTTTAAAAGACGTCTCAAGATTTGTTTTCATAAAAGTTGGAATCAAATTAGGAAACTGATACGTTAGAATTTAAGAGAGAAGAAGCAGGAAGAAGATAACACATAAAAGATAGGAAGATGAGTAGAATAACTGAATGTTAATGCTTTTAATCTGATTGCCTTTTATTGAATTCATTACGGACTATTTATACTAGTCTTAGAAGACTGGGAAATTAACAAACAAATCTGAGAATCAGGACCCAACTTTCCACTAAGCTGAAGATTAGCACAATTATTGAACGACAAACTGATAAATTGAAATAAACAAATTGACTAAGTCTAAGCTGACCAAGTCTTCCAAGTCCCACGTTTTCCACTTCCAGCTTTAATCCGGTGCAGCCACCAGATTGTTTGTGTTGCACGTATCATTCCTCCCCCCTTCAGAATCCTTGCCCGCAAGGATAAAATCAGACTTAAAGCGCCACTCATTTTCCCAGGTAGCATCTTCCATCATAAATAATTGTGGACGTTCGCACCGATGGCCAGGAACAAACTTCTCATCGCAATAGTAACACAACCCTTTTTCTCGACGTTCTCGTGCCTCTTGATTGGTCATCCGTCGAAATGTTGTTGGAGTCATACTGGAACTTGCATTTATAGTACTGGAACTTGCATTTCTGCTATGGTTTGGCAGAGGGCCTAATACACCAGCTGTTGGCACCACTGAAACAGGTTAGGAAAGAAATTGTTGGCTATATTTATCTTGTAACTGATTTTTTTCCTCGATTAGCCGAGCAACTTCTATCATATACGTCAACGTGCTGGCTTGTTTTATTTTTACATCAAGCCGAATGTCATCCTGAAGTCCGGCAATGAAACAACCAACGAGAAAAATTTCAGGCAGACCATCAACTCGATGGGAAAGCTTTTCAAAATCTTCCTGGTAAGCTGCTACATTTGAGTTCTGTCTAAGACGGGTTAGAGCTTCGGACGGGTCTTCATAATCAGTTGGACCAAAACGGAGAAGGACCGCCTTGGTGAACTCATTCCACATAATTGGTCCGTGGAATTTCATCAACCAGCAGTGCCACTGCAGGGCAATACCCTCAAGATAGAAGGATGCTAGTTGAACTTGTTGGTCAGATGCAATATTTTGGAAATCAAAATATTGTTCTGCTTTGTAGATCCAGCCGGTTGGGTCCTCACCATTGGACCTTGGGAAGGAAAGTTTAAGATGTTGATGATTGCTAGTATTCAAACGGACAACATTTGGTGAATGGGAGGATTCTCCTGGGGCAAATGGGTTTATTTCAGGGATACTGGCATTAGGAATTTATGATGCTCGCAGGGATTGTAGTTCCCGCAAAACAGTTTGGAGGGTGGTGTGGACTTGATCAATACTAGATTCATGACGACCCAATATTTCATGAACTTCGTTGCGAAATTCAGCATTGGTTTTACCTCGAGTGTCCATGGTCGGAACCGCGCTCTGATACCAATTGATACGTTAGAATTTAAGAGAGAAGAAGCAGGAAGAAGATAACACAGAAAAGATAGGAAGATGAGTAGAATAACTGAATGTTAATGCTTTTAATCTGATTGCCTTTTATTGAATACATTACGGACTATTTATACTAGTCTTAGAAGACTAGGAAATTAACAAACAAATCTGAGAATCAGGACCCAACTTTCCACTAAGCTGAAGATTAGCACAATTATTGAACGACAAACTGATAAATTGAAATAAACAAATTGACTAAGTCTAAGCTGACCAAGTCTTCCAAGTCCCACGTTTTCCACTTCTAGCTTTAATCCGGTGCAGCCACCAGATTGTTTGTATTGCACGTATCAGAAACCAGAATTGTTTTTCCCGATTTGGCTTGGACGAGTGCCCAATAGAAAATGGGGCGGCCACCTAAGCATAATAATTGACCCCTGCTATTGAAGTTTAGGGTCGGGCAACTGGGCGATTGCCCAGTTATAAAAAATTCAAGAATTTTCCTTCAACCATTTTCTTCATTCTTTCTTCCACCTTGGTCCTCCACATCCAATTACTTCAACTTTTAGCACTTCAACTTTTACTCAAATGCATATTAATCCCCAATCTTCATCTGTTGGCCAATTTCTCATTCTTTCTTTACCAATTACTTAGAAACGGGTCCAAAACTGAAGTAAAATAAAATTAACCTAAATTAAGTAAAATCTAATACTAAAACGACACAAAAACCTAGTACTATGGCCCGAATAAGTGCACAAAAATGTACTTATCACTATCCCTAACTTTCATATAGGTCGACTATCAAGAATACTCGTGTAACTAAAGTATTCTATAGATATGGCTATATAAATCTATTGAAATCTAAGAAGTTGAACCTGCCCTTTCGAGTTCTGTGTACCAAGAACATTAACCCAGTGACAAATTCGTAGTGCTTTTAATCATCATATAATGTACTTAGCTAATTGAACCCAATATCTTAATGTTTCAAGTCTCAGGAGGCTAAGACCTCGAATTACGTAAATTTTATATCAAAAGCTAAAAGCCCTGTAGGCTAAAAGCTTTAGTTTGTTTAAGTCACTACAATGCTAGACGTTCGGACGCCATCAGGTTGGCAACTCGTTTAGGTCAACTATTAAACGTAAGTAACATAACAAAAGTGGGGGGATGGCAAAAGTCAAAAAAGGAAATTCGAAATTTCATTAGAAAAAAGCGAATTACATTTGCAGAAGGCCGATGCCATTACACTTGAAAAATAAAAACGCATTTACTGGGGTGGAGGCTTAGGATCTACAAAAGGGACGATGGCATCAGGAGCCACATCCGGTACGTTCTCATCAAGTTCGATAACTGGAGGCTCCTCTGCTGGGGATGGATGCTCAAATCCTTCCTGATCTCCTTCGAGGAATTCAGCCCTAAGTTTGGATGTATCATGTCTAGCGTGCACTTTGATCCACTCAATCATCTCATTATAAGCGTATCGCCTCCAGTATAGGCCAAATTGTTGGTATTTCTCAGTTAAATGAAAGTTGGCCAAGAAGCGATCTTCCGCCTCAGCACTGGAGCGTTCAGCCTCATTCCGAACCACCTCGATTTCATCCCTCAGCTTGGAAAACTGGGAGGTCAACTCTTTCATTTCTCCCGCCAACTCCCCCTTTTCTTTATTAGCCATTTCCAGGGCCTCAACAGTTATCTTTTGATGGGCGTCGGACGTCTCCACCCTTTTTGTCAGCGAGGCCACTTCACTCTGGGACAAGTGAACCTCCTTCTTCAATGCCTCAATTTCTGCCAGCGTAGAAGCAAGTTTCGTTGACTCCTTAGCCTCTCGTTTCTTCGAGGCCTCGACCTCGGCCTTAAATTTACTGGCCAACTCTTCAGCTTGGGAGGCCTTGCTCACAAATTCGTGATTTTTTCTTTGAAGAGTCTTGAACAAAGCCTCGACTTCCATGGCCACTCCAAAACACCTTGACACCTGGCCCACCATAGTGGCGACGACGTCCACAGAATCACTCGTTTTGACAAAATTTTGCCATTGGCAGTCCAAAATTGGTGGAACGTCGTCGTGGCCGTTTGGACCTCTGGAGGCAACAAGGCGAGGGCCTCAGGCTCCAACTCATCCGGCCACCTCGCCAAGTGTGGCTTATTCTGAGAGCGGTCCGAAGTAGTGTCGCTCGAAGTCTTGGATTTTTTATTAGTCTCTTGGGCAGGGGGTCAGAAAAGGCCACTCGCTTCTGACTGACTGAAGCAGCAGCAAATGAAGCTGCCAGTAACCTTTGCCCTGCTGCCACTTCGGAGCGAGGCGGAGGAATATCGTTTGAAGTACCCACCCCGGTGGCAGATACCCAGAACTTCTTCTTCGGCTCCTCAACGACCACCCTTTTTCGCCGGTCGTCTACGGAAGGTCGACCACCCTCCTGAGAGGCAACCTCCTTGCTTACCCTCTCAATGGCATCCTTCACCCACTTTCCTCCAGCAGATGAAGGTTTCATGCCTTTACGGCCCGCTGTCGAAGTGGCGGCCAAAATCGTTGCCATATCAGGGGTGGGGATTTTCCTCTTTTCAAAGTCACATGCAAACCGAAAATTACGAGGTCAGAAACAATGCAACATCGATACAGGGTAAACAGAGATCACGAATAGTACCTCGAGAAGCCATCAATGCTAGATTTTCAAAATGTCGCTGAGGCACCACCAAACGGTTAAAATCGTGCTCTGAAGAAGGTTGGCTGTATATGGCCGACAAGATGTCCCAGTCACTCTTGTGCAGAGGGAAGCGTTCAACCGATCCTACAAAAGAAATGAATTAGAAGGTGATTCTAACAAAAAGGTGGGGAGGGCAGGAAAAGGAGATGCAAGAATGACACTCACTGGGTTCGGAGTAGGAGGTCAGAACTCTCGCGTAAGGGAAAGTGTCCCCTTTACATTCCTGCCACTTCCCCCGAACCTAGAACCAGGTCTCTTTCCACCCCTTAATAGAGGTGGGGAGACCCGAGACAAAAGGCGAGTGCCTACCCCATGGACATAGTGAATACCACCCTTTGGAATCCCCCTTTCCTAAGGACCGAGGTTGGAAAACTGTTTAGACGTGGAGGGGCATATCCTTACCTAAGGAAATCTCCTTCCAAAGGATGAATGAACCCACTAACTGAGCCCAACCGTTGGGGGCAAGCTGGGTGGGGGCTAGTCCATATAATCTAAGAACAGCTCGGAGGTAGACTAAGTCCAACCTTGAGGAGATACTCACTAATAGCAACACACCCCTGCCTAGGGAAGCAGGCTCGCTCATCGTGAGACGGGGATAGAAGTTCAATAGTGTAGGGGATCCTGTATTTTTCCCTGAGGTTGGCTAACTGGGAAGGGTCTACGCTAGAACGAATTTTGGCTGCCCCCCAACCAACACCATCATCGCCCCTGATGACATCCCCAGAAACAGAGGCACCTCGTCTCGCCTCAATAGACCTCCTAAGGTCAGCAGTATTAGTTATCCGAACTCTTAGCACAGTGGCCAGTTGAGTCAAGTCTATATCATCCCCAGAAGTAGAGAAAGCCATAAAAACACAGAATGTCAAGAAGTTATAAAGAAAAAAAACTTACTGGTAAAACAAAGGATTCGCAGAAGCATGAATGGAACACACAAGAAAAGAGAGAGAAATTTTGAAAAGGAAGAGTGAGAAAACTTGAGAGGAAAAATGCAAAGATTCGTGCAAGGAAAGAAAGTTTCTCCAAAGTCTTGGCTTTTATAGGCGAAACCCACTCATTCCTGGCCGTCGGATCTCGATCCGGACCATCCAAGGGATTAACAAGATTTATGATCCTAGCCGCTCATAATATCTGACATTTGGCCTTCAAGGGCTAGGATCCGAATGTAGCTTACACGCACCATCACATGCCCGAAATCTTGGTAGAAAACACGGGAAAAAGGCCATCATTACGCA